ACACTTTTCATGGTGAATTTCTTCATTCCGTACACTCAGGTAGTTGATCGAAGCATTACTATGTGTACACTTTTCATGGTGAATTTCTTCATTCCGTACACTCAGGTAGTTGATCGAAGCATTACTATGCATACACTTTTCATGGTGAATTTCTTTATTCCACTTCTATAATAATAGCTTCATCCACAATGAACTAAACTCCATATTTAAAATTGTTCACATCGTTTTATTTACTGAAATGCTGATGTAATAAATGTCTTTTTCTAGTGTGAGACTCAAATTTGGTATTTGAGGTTGATTACGTCACTGTGTGTACTTTTCATTAGTAAAACGATAAATTAATTTCATACCAATTAAATTAAATATTACTTTCAATTCAGTACTAACCCAGTAAGTTTATCCCAAATGAAAATCAAACTCAATATTTTATAACTCCTGTTGAATCCTGCACTATTTTGTTTTTATTTTTAATCTTAAAATTAGTTTTGTGAGTAAAGTTTTTGTTCTGAGTAATTGATATTTGCAATATAAGATTGCTTCCTCCGCTGAAATAGAGCTATTTACTAAGAACAAAGATAACACTTTTATGCTGTGGGTATTTTTTGTTTTTTATTTGACTTTATATCAAGTATTATGAATTATATAGCATTAACAACACGCGCATTTAAACTGAGAGCCGTTTTTTGCTTATTACTTAAGGGAGGGTACGGTTCGTTTTAGATGCGGATTTATTATTAAAGCGTGTGTTTTTCCTGCACTTTATATTTTTACAAAATGTGAAGATGTTGTAATGTCACTAAATTAAAAAAAAAAAGAATAAAAAATATTACCTTATTAGAAAAGAATCAGGAGAACTATTTGGAAGCTCAACAAAATCATTGTTAGTTTAACACTGCCCTGATGAAATGGAAGTAATAAATATCTTTTTTAAAACAATCAACGAATCTGTTGGAAGCTCAACAAAATCATTGTTAGTTTAACACTGCCCTGATGAAATGGAAGTAATAAATATCTTTTTTTAAAACAATCAACGAATCTGTTGCCGCTAGTTTAAAATGCTCCACAAAGTCGGGGAAGAAGTAATAAGAGTTGTGAGTTGTATGAGAATAACACAATTTCGGTAGATCTAACATAAACAGTGATTTAGAAAACAAAATAAAACTAGAAACATTTCTACTAGATAGACATGATTTTAGAAGAACTCGCAAAAACGATCAAAGTGGGTCAATCTTGAAGAAACAAGAAAAACACAACAAAAACAATACCAATAGAAACAGTATCAACAAAACAATACCAATAGAAACAGTATCAACAAAAACAATACCAATAGAAACAGTATCAACAAAAACAATACCAATAGAAACAGTATCAACAAAAACAATACCAATAGAAACAGTATCGATGTTTCTATTGGTATTGTTTTGTTGATACTGTTTCTATTGGTATTGTTTTTGTTGCTACTGTTTCTGTTGGTATTATTTTTGTTGATACTGTTTCTATTGGTATTGTTTTTTGTTGATACTGTTTCTATTGGTATTGTTTTTGTTGCTACTGTTTCTGTTGGTATTATTTTTGTTGATACTGTTTCTATTGGTGATCTTTTTGCTATCAACAAAAATAATACCAACAGAAACAGTATCAACAAAAACAATACCAATAGAAACAGTCAAAATAACAAAATATTGAATGAATCAGCAGAGAATATAGAGACTGAGACAAATGGGAATGAACTTACATAATACATCAAGGTATCCAACTTGACTCATCATCGGTACCGTGTTTAACTGACACATGTAACCTCCTTTGTCTGACTCCTGAACGTGTCGCAGCTGCAGCACGAAGTTCTTGTTGTCGGAGTGACTCAAGCTAATCCGATAGTTTCTAGTAATGACATTTTGGTGAATTGAGAGGATTGCTTTTGATTCAACTTTCAACCAGGCAGCCTGAAAAATAAAAATGTAAATTTAAGAGAGAGGGAGAGAGTTTTGGTTTGGTTGTTTTAGAGCAAAGCCATATTGGTCTATCTGTTGTGCTCACCGCGGGGAATCGAACCCCAAGTTTTAGCGTTGAGTCCGAAGAATTACCGCTGGCCTACCGGGGACGAAAAAGTTTGGTTTGGTTTGTTCTGAATTTTCCGCAAAGCCACACGAGGGCTATCTGCGATAACCGTCCCTAATTTAGAAGTAAAAGACTAGAGGGAAGGCAGCTAGTCATCACTACCAACCGCCAACTCTTGGGCTACTCTTTTACCAACGATTGACCGTCACATCATAACGCCCTCACGGCTGAAAGGGCGAGCATGTTTGATGGGACGAGGATTCGAACCCGCGACCCTCAGATTGCGAGTCAAACATCCTAATCACCTGGTCATGTCGGGCCTGGGACGAGAGAGAGAGAGAGAACAACCTGGAATATAATGTTTAGCTTAACATTAGAGGTCGATGCGCTTATCAACGAATCGTTATTTCAGTAGAAGATCTCATCATGTTAGCAAACAAACACCATTTTAAGAACAGATGTCGCCGTGTTTAGCAACCAAACATGAATTTTTGTGTTTAATTAATTTAAGGCTACATTTTAGTTCCTTTACTGAATCATTTTATCTTGATTATAAAATAAACAGAAAATTAGTTTATATTACTCAGGATTGTGTGCTTGTTTGTTTAAAGTTAAGTACAAGGCTACACAAAGGGCTATCTGTGCTCTGCTCACCACGAGTATCGAAACCCGGTTTCTAGCGTTTTAACTCCGCAGATATACCATGTGCCACTGGGGGTCATTATTCAGGAATACTTGAAACTTATTCTTTGACGTAATATTTAATTTATAGGTTTCTTTTGGGATTTGATACGAAGGTGACTATATACACAATTTCTGTCTATCTGACATATTTATCCTTATCAATTACATAATATAAATTACTTAATATGTACAATACTTCGCACAGCGGAGCGTTTTACTTTTTAGAATATGGTACAAGCCTCTTGCGATGTGCTGAATGGCCATGTCAGAAGTCTCTAAGGTTCAGCTACTGACCAGTGGCATCTGCTGCTTAATCAGCTACTCTTAACCTTAAATGCAGGATTGATTGTTACTTTTATAATGCACCTAGCTTAAAGTCGGAGCGTGATCAACGGTATATTGAGGATACAGTATTATATTTTCGAATTCGTGCGTTAAGTACGTAATAAGCAATTTGCGGCCAAATTCGAGCCCAGTCCAAAATTGAAGCTGTTTTGCACAAATTGTCATTTATTTTCTTGAAAACAAATTATAAAAACTCAAGAAAGAAAGTAAAGAGGAGTGTAGTATTTTGTTTTGTTTTGAATTTCGCGCAAAGCTACACGAGGGCTATCTGCGCTAGCCGTCCCTAATTTAGCAGTGTAAGACTGGAGGGAAGGCAGCTAGTCATCACCACCCACCGCCAACTCTTGGGCTACTCTTTTACCAAAGAATAGTGGGATTGACCATCACATTATAACGCCCCCACGGATGAAAGGGCGAGCATATTTGGTGGGACGGGGATTCGAACCCGCAGATTGCGAGTCGAGTACCCTAACCACCTGGCCATGCCGGGTAATATGTCAACCATATAATATCTTCTATATCCAGAGGTCTTTAGGTCAAAACCAGATGTCATCATATTTTCAAGTTGAATTTTTTTTACAATACAGAATTCCTTTCTAAACATCCATTAGTGATGCACATTTAAATCTAGATCGTTAGAAAATGATTTTAATGTGAATTGACTTAAAAAAGAGGACTTGAAAACTGAATTTTATCGAAAAAAAGGCTGTACGTTTAAAATATACTTAAATCTATTGGAAAATATTATACAATATAAAAGTGACCGCTACTGGAAAAATGTTGTGCTGAGTTTCCCGTACTACTGGAATGAAGAACTCTTTATGAAAAAAAAAGATTAGAATTTATGCTTCTCTGCTGAGTTTCCCGTACTGCTGGAATGAAGAACTCTTTATGAAAAAAAAAGATTAGAATTTATGCTTCTCTGCTGAGTTTCCCGTACTGCTGGAATGAAGAACACTTTATAAAAAACAAAGATTAGAATTTATGCTTCTCTGCTG